TTGACCGCAACATCAGAGCCTTTTATGCAATGGTCAAAAATAATCATATCTACACACTGAATAATAATATTAAAAGATTGGAACAAAAACAAAATACTGATGATGCATTTGTAGTAAAGGCACGGCCCGACTATCATATAAGTGATAGAGAGAAGCCATCGATTTGCAAAATGTTTTCTACTATTGATGACATTTTTGAATGGTTAAGGCAACAATTGCAAACAGAACCGACAAACAGGAAAAGAACTTTTTAGATTTAGTTCATAGAGAGAATGATCTAAATAAATTATTTTGCGATTTCAAAAATATCGGGTATGAATGCAGGATTGTTCACAAAGCAGGGACTATTTCAGAATTGAGGGCGGACTTCAATAATGTATATCTAAATATTAGGTCACAGTGTCTGATAGACGACCAGATCAATAGTGACATCACAGTAGACAGAGAAACGGTTTACAACAATATGACTGAAGCGATGTTTACATTCAAAAAGAAATTATTCAATCCAAATCACAAGTCTTATTACAGTCCTACCGATATACAAGTTTTAAATAATTATAGAACCATCGTCCCACAAGGCGAGTTATTCAAGGGCTTGGATAAGTTGGATGTTCCAAAACAGGAGATCGACATGAACAAAGCGTTTACAGATGCATTTAATACGATTACCAGAATAGGAGTTTTTAATCAGTTTGATAATTGGAAAGCTTATAATAGTAAATGTAAGATCAAGGATGTAAATATATATTTGGTAAAAGCAGAACTGACACATCGCAATCTGTTTTTTAATAATGATACTAATATAGTTTATGGTATGTTTCTTAAGCATTTTATGCCACTTGTTGCATCTGGCGAGTTGTCCATTACTCACTACAAACAGCCACATTTCATTCACAAGGTAGATAATAAAATGTTGGTTGAGGAACTCTGGGGAAAGCGAATAAGCGAAAATATTGAAGAAGACAAGGCAATTAAAAAAATAATAGCCAACTCGATTTTTGGCTTGTTGGAAAAAAGTAAGAACAGCAGTCAGAGATCATTCGTTTTTGATGATCTCAATGAGGCGATCAGCCTTCAGGCAGATGCAGGGGGGAAGTTAAACATGATGAGTAAGCATACCGCCAAGTGGATTGAGGAATACGATGATAACGGAGTGTGGTGCCGTGATAGAGAAGTATCTGAACAAAACGACAATTTATATTATATTCTGAATGTGGTTGATAGGTGCGAGTTGTCCAATGGGTTTCGTTTTATTAAAGAAATGCTATTGCAGTATCATAATTTCAAAATGCAATGCGCATATCAAAAATTGACAGAGAACAATGTTAAGGTATTGAGTGTCAAATGCGACGCTTTTGTCGTGGACTGTTCGGGTTTTAATAAGTTTGGTTTGAGAAAGACTCAGCAGTTGCTAGATTTTCACGATGGGATCGGTGGGTGGAAATTAGCCAAGACTCACGATGAGATCCATCATACAGGAAAGCAGTTGTATGAACAGAAGAAGTGTGAATATGTTGATATCCCGATTGTCAAAAGTAAGAGAGTTAACATCATTAATGAGTATGATGAAAATGAATTGGTTGAACTTGTTGAGAAATATAGGTGCTTGATGATTAAGGCTAAATTCGCAGGAGCGGGGAAGTCCACCATCTGCAAGAACATGGAGAGACTCAAGGGTTATAAAGTGTTGTTCGTGGTTCCTACCAATAATCTGGGTTTGGAGTGCGAAGTGGAAAGCGTCACTGTAAATAAATTCTTCGGTATAGCAGTCAATGACGAGAAGCTAGATAAATACGATCATTCGATGTTTGATGTCATTGTGTTTGATGAGATTTGTTTTAATAATACCTTTGTATTGGCAAAAATCAAGGGCTTCGTTGAGCAGTTCAAGGACAGTAAAATAATGTTGGCAACCGGTGACGCCAAGCAGTTGAGCCCCATAAAAGCACTGACTAACACTAAGAAACACGAGATTTATATGAATGAATGTATTGACAGCATTTTTCCTCATCATTTGTTTTTGGAAGAGTGCAAGCGATTGAAGACTCAGGAGGACAAGGATAAACTTAAAAGTATTTATGCCGACATCTTTGAGCATGAGTTGTCTCTACATGATGTCATCAATAAGTATTTTAAATATACCGATGACATCACAGGAACAGAAAGCAATGTCGCATATTTAAATAACACTTGTAGAGAGGTTTCAAGGCAGATCAGAAACGACAGGGCAAACAAAATGAGTTTGAAGTCGGCGAGATCATGATATGCAGAGAGTATAGGAAGACAAAAACCTATAAGTTAAATGTGAATTTTAGGTATGAGATAATTAATATTTCCGATCCTTGGATTACCATTGCTAATATCAAAACACGAGAAGAGATTACATTAAATATTGGTATCTTGAGAAGTCATTTTATCTTTGCCTTCTGTTATACTTGTCATTCTGTTCAGGGGTGTTCCATTGATGACGATGTCACCATTTTTGATTGGAGCCATTATCTGATAACTCGCGAGTGGCTTTGGACGGGGATCACTCGGGCAAGGGATTTAAACAGAGTAAAATTTTACAAATACAGTAGTGATTTAAATGAAGAGTTTAACGCAAAATGCATTATGAATTATTTTGATAGAAAGGTGTTAGCATACAAGGAACAGGATAGGAAAAACAAATTTGAGATCCCAAAAGACAATTATGTGGATGCCGAATGGTTGAAGGACAATGTCAACGGAAAGTGTGCAAATTGTGGCTGTGGTTTCGTGTTGTCAATGGATTCTGGTAATATAAATTCTAATCTGACTTGTCAAAGGTTATGTAATGATCTTCCCCATACAAAGGATAATGTCATTGCCTTCTGTGCTTCTTGTAATAGATGCTTCAGTGATAAAATAACATATTGATATTTATTTTATAGTATTATATATATATGAGTGAAAAAGACAAGATAATCAGTGAGGTCTACTACGATCAGGCTGGGTTTGGTAGCATCGCCACCACTTACAAAGATGCAAAAAAGAAAGATGCATCCATAACAATGCAAGATGTCAAGGAGTGGTTTCAAGAGAACGTGGAACGGAAAAAACAACTGTCTGGATACAATTCGTTTATTGCCCCTGATATCAACTTTGAATATCAATTGGATCTGTTTTTTATATCAAAAAATGATTTAGATAATCAAAAATATAGGATAGGCTTATTGCTTATTGATGTATTTTCCCGCAAAGCCGTGGTGGTGCCTATTGCATCCAAGCAACCTGCCGACATCACGGCTGGGATCATGGAGGCATTAAACAAAATGGGAGGGAAACCCAAATTAATTTATTCGGATGACGAGGGGAGTCTCAATACCCAAGATCTTGTTGATTTTTTCAAGGACGAAGGGATCCAAAACTATAAAACACGAGGGCACCCCCATTTCGCCGAGCGTTTCATTCGCACGTTCAAGGACATGCTTTTAGGTCAAGATGAAGCTTGAGATGAACAGAATCAAAACCCGTAAATATCCCCCTGTTAGGGTTGGCGATGAGGTCAAAATATACCGCAAAAAAGGGATTTCCGAGAAAGAAAGAACGAGCAACTGGAGCAGTGTCAAATACAAGGTTTCAAGGGTTGAAAAAAACTTGGTCAAGATTATTATTCTGTTGAAGGGATGAACCGCCCCTATTTGAGGTCAGAGATTTTGAGGGTTTGAACAGCGACTACGACAATCAGTCACCAACGACAAGGGTTGAGACGATATGTCACTGTTTCTGGGACACCGTTTCTATGACAACGTGTCACTGTTTGTATGACAACGTGTCACCGTTTCTATGACGACACGTCACTGTTTCTATGACGACACGTCACTGTTTCTATGACAATGTGTCACTGTTTCTATGACGGCACGTCACTGAATCTATGACGACATGGCACGGTTTCTGTCACGATATTTCATAAACAACATTTGCTGAGACAACATGTTGTAATGGCGGTGGCAAAGCTGATTCCGCCAACGGTTGGTTCAAGCTTGAGGTGGCATGATCGGATGATTTGCGACCAAAACATGATGCTCAACAGTCATTGAAGTGTCATGTTTGTTCAGGTTTACGTTGCTTTCAGTTTTGCGCAATGGCAGAAGCAGCGCCGCCAAAGAAGCGGAAACTGACACATCGCTGGCTCGCTGAACAACTGCATGATTTTGACGAAAGCGTGCAAAGCCTTGTTGCGGGGCACCTGTCTGACTTCGACGAAGACGATCTGAAGAATGCCCAGCCTTCATTCTTGTTTAGTCTGCTTCCAGCAGGGCTTGAACAAAAGACTCAACAGAAAGTAGTCCTGCGTTTGGGGAATAGGATTCGTGAGGCTTTCCAACCACCGCAACCCGCTCCCTGGCTTAAACATAATCAATATGTTGCGTCATTCCCTTTTCTAGGTTTGGTTGTTTCGTTCCTCTCTGGTTCTTAGGTATGTTTGCTTGAGTGAGTCGTTTGTTTGTTTTTGGGGTGATTGCCTGTTCCTTGTTTTACTGGTTTGCTTTCACTGCACTACTCAGGACCCTGGATATCAAGATGAGCTTTGCCATTGGCTGGATGAAGCTGTGTCCAAGACAACAAAGCCCAGCAACTGGAAAGCTGATACTGTGCAGGAGTTTGCAAGTTGCAATGTTTTGGGTATGCCACATGTTGGCAAAAAACTGGTGGTGCGAACTTGCTACACACAGTTGTATGAACTTATCACGAACTGGTTGAAGCAAGAATTCGCCAAGCCCGGAATTCAAGGGGTTTTTGTCATTACAGGCACTCCTGGCATTGGGAAATCCGTTTTTCTGGCTTTTGTAGCTAGTCGCTTGGCCGAAGAGGGCATCGACATCGTCATCCAGCTGGGCAAGGAGTGGTGGTCGCGTGTTGCAGGTCAAACCATGACGCTCAATGAAAAAAAGCCAGTTACACTTCTTAAAGTTTCGAAGACTGTTCTGTTGGCGGACCCAGTTGGCGGTGAGAACTCCCAGCCTGTTGACCCTCGCATGTGTGGTTGCACTATTATTTTCACCTCGCCGCAGCAGAAGAACTACGACAGCGTTTGGAAACAGGCTGAAGGTCGTTCAGAGCGCTATTTCATGCCAGTGTGGTCGGAAGAGGAGGTGCTGAACCACTGGAAAGCTGGGGGCATACTGCAGGTTTGCAAGCAAGAAGCAGACGTGAAGATGGCATATGCCATGATTGGAGGGAGTGTGCGATACTTGGGCAAATTGCTGGTGGCAGTAGCCAAGAAGAAGACCACTCTGGAAGAGGAAGCAAAGCAGATGATTCGCGACTGCGTCGTGAAGTGCACGTTTGAAGACTTGTGTCAGGCTGCTGACAGTGGCGGTGCAGACATAGATGCACAGAACAACAGGAGCAAGATGAGTCGGGTGCTTCACATCCATTCGGATGCCAAGTTTCAGACGCCCAATGTGAAGTTGATTGAGTCCAAGGTTGTTCTCAACATTTTGTGTGACCAACTGGCAGAGAAGCAACGGAAAGCTCTTCCTGACCTTATCAGGGCAAGTTTGAATATCAGCCCTTTGGGCACACTGCGGTCGGCTATTTCAGATGCATGTCGCCGAGGTTTGCAAATCCAAGAAGGTGGAGCTTGTTTGCACTGCATTGAAGAAGAAGGGCAAGAAAGCGTCAGCTGAAGTCAAAATGTGCATCCCGACGCTTCAGAAGATGCTCAAGAAGTTGGGTGACCAACCACCACCGAAGTCTTTGCCACAATTTTGATGAGAGTTTCTTGTATTGTCCGGAATCTGAGACATTTCCAGCCGCTGATTTGTTCTTTGTTACCAAGGAGGGCAAGAACATCACGCTTTGGCTACTGCAGGTCACGAAGGCGAAAAGTCACGATTGCAAGATTGATGCTTCTTACAAGCAGTTCAACAACTATTTCCAACTGAATGGAGTCAAGAGCATCAAGTGGGTTGTAGTAGCTCCTGAAGGTGACATTTCAGATGGATATGCGTCGGAGCAGAAGGTTGTCGGCACATGGGGTGTTTCGGAGAAATGCAAGGTCAACGTTGAGCAGTATGTGAGTTCATGGAAGGTATGACCTTGACTCGCTCAAGCGACCGAATTGCTGTGAAATGGTGGGGTGGGGGAGCGGCGGTGTTGGAAAAACGGATTTGCAATATGTTTGCAATCCCAGCGCCGGATTTTGCAGTTCCAACGGCTGTTTTTGCGGTTCCAACGGCAATTTTTGCTGTTTCCGTGTCAGTTTCGGCAGTTTCTAGGGCGGTCTGTCTACTGAAGCCTTGTTCAATCCACATTTTGCCATCCATATTTACTGGGATTATTTTCAAGATTTGGGTTAACGGTTTCAATTCTCCCTTGTCTAATGGTTAACCACTTTTTGGGGCGAACATAGGGTTTCATTTTAGACTGTTCGTATTTGTTGGAAATGGGAAAGGGTCTCAGGTTGGATCAAGGGAGAAATTATTGAGATCTTGGGGTTGCGATCTTGGGAATGAAAAAATGTTGGTATGTAGCTTGGATTTTTTTGGTGGGATTTGTTGAGGTGGTATGTAGTTATGATTGTTGTTATTGAATGAGTGTAAGGGTGATGTTGAGATGGGGTAAGAAATGAAGATGGGTATATGAATATGTGTTTTTTGGCGTTGGATTGGGTGGGTGATTGAATTTGAATGTTGAAAATAGGCTGTTTTAGTGGGTGTATTTGAATTGTGCCCAAAAGTGTGGGGGGGACCCTAGGACCGGATGGCAAAATGCGGACGGGAGAGGCCATCTCTAACTGTTGGGGGGGGGGGCTGGTTCGTTTTGGTGTGGTGCGGGGGGGGGGGCGGGGTTCGGGTTTTCGGGGGTTCGGGGTTCGGGGTTCGGGGTGTGGGGGTGTGGGGGTGTGGGGGTGTGGGGGTGTGGGGGTGTTGGGGTGTTGGGGTGTTGGGCCATCTCAGACTTGCAATTTGTGGGCGTGTCCATTTTTTTTGGGGTTGGGAGTCCTAAATGAAAACCAAACGGATTGTTGAAGAAGAAGCCAATAAGGTACCATGACCATGTCTTTTTTTGGGGTACCATGTGGTTGTGTCGTTTTTTTTTTCTCCCCTCGTCTTTTGGAGTGCTGGTCTGTCGGACCTCCAGGTCCACTCGGCGGTGAACGCGGCCTGCAGCGGGGACGTTTGCCAGCGGGGCGCGGATCTGCAGAGCTGCGCCCGGCTCATCAAGGAGAAGCCCCAGGACCGGTTCCGTCGTTCCGGCTCCTCGCAAGCGCGAAACGAAACACCGGTTGGAAGCTCCAAAAACTGGGCAGTTTCTAGGTCCCCGAGCTAGGTGCCCGCTCTTTGATTTCTTTTTTGGTTGGGAGGGGAACCCCGTACTAAAATAGACTGCAGGAGAAAAAGTTGGTACCCTTGTTCTAACCTCTCCACTTGAGGACCTAGGTTTGCAAAGAAACCACCGGTAAACTTGACTGCTATTGGGTTGGATCTTTAGACGTTAAACTTTTTGGGAAATCAACGGGCTTTCCACTACATCCTCAAGAAGTTAAACTTTTTGCAGGGGGGTCAACAGCAACCAAGTAAATCCCAGGGGGTAGACAGATTTCATTAGTCAGGTCACCCTTAGTTGTTTTCCAAACGTGGCATTTTCTAGGGACACCACCGGTAAAGTCTGCAACTCTTTGATGGGGAAATCCAGCGGCCCCTGTTGGATTTGTGGTTTGGGGGTGAGGGGAAGTAATACACACCCTGATTAATAGATAATATATACCCCCCGCACTTATTCTGGGTGGGGGGGGGTTCGGCGGGGGTTCTTAGGGGGACTGAAACAAATATTCGGGTCGAATAAAGGTCGGACATTTGGTCCGGCTCTTCTGTTTAAGTGAAGAGGTGGCAAGATGTTTCTGGGTGAATGCCATTCAGTCAGCCGGCCCCGAGAAAGCCGGAGGCCACATATGCCACTCACTTGCTGTGGCCATCGAGCTTTGCTGCTGGGCACCTGGAACTTGTGAGACTGTTCAGGCCCAAACCACCAAACTGAAGGGGGAATTCGTCGGGGTGGAATTCGTCGGGCGCCAGCGCCTCAGGAGCTTCAGGTAGCCAGTGACCTTGTCACCGGGGCCTTGCTGCGTGCTGGGAACTTCGAGCGGGCGCGGATGCTCCTTGGACCGTGGAATCGTTCTGGGAAAAAGCAAAGGTGCTGCCTCCATTTGCTGAAGTGCTTCTTTTTTGAAGTGTCCCCTTTCTGGTTCTAAAGGGAAGCAATGTGTCACTACTTGACATATGTTCTCATTTTGTTCCAGGGGGCGAAAACGCGAATGGAAGGGAAGGGTGGATGCTTTGCGTGAGATGGGACGGGCCATGCCGGGCGCAAGGTTTGCGAAGCACGATGCAACCTGAGGAGCGCCTTGAGTTTAACCCATTCTTTTGGGATCCTTTTCCTTCCCGTTGCATTCCTAAGTCTGGTTTGTTTTCTTTCCGAGGTCTGAAGGATTTTGGGACGCGGATCCTCTGAATTCTGAATCAGCTTGCATGTGCTTGCCATTGGTTGACTCTAACGTTGACCCCGGACAAACAAGTCCTATCATTTGGCAGGCGTTCCTGCCAATAGTCCGAAGCCCCACTAAAGCAAGCAAAAACAATCAGGGGTTCTGGGAATCCAGGCGTTTCCATTCGACACTTTCTAGATCCTTGCTGGGTGAAATGTACCCACGCAGGCGGTTCTGAGAACAAAGGAAGCCACTTTCGTGCAGGTCACACGCTAGTGTCCTAGATGGCTTTCTGGTGTCCGAGAAGCTTGCCCAGCAGCATGGCCTACTGGTCTAACTCGGTCTACTTGGTTGATCTCTTCTCTCAAAAGCTGTGCCTTGCTAACACAGGCACCCTCTGGCTTTGGGAATTTACGCGCTATCTATTCTTTGGCCGTGGCGTGGCGTGATGCACAAGGTGCAAGGGTGCTTGCTGCCCCCACGCATCATTCGCCAGGGGTTGACATGGGCCGGGCTTTCTCGGTTTTCATATTTTGTGTTGCCGTGGATCCTGTGCACTGGTTCTTGCATCGAATTCCTGCAAGGTTTCAGGTCAAATCGCAAACATGGTGACGTCGTTCTCGTCTTCAATCCTGCTGCGGCAGCGCTTCATCACCTAATTATCGGCTACTGTCACCTTGCCAGTGCGGGCAGATTTGGCGATCCAAGTGCGACTTGGCAGCCTCAGATTTCGACAGTGAGTGTCTGGCGTTTCCGAGTGTATGGCTGAGGCGTCATCCTGTCAACCTCTGGGCGCTTGATTTCTCTCTGGACATTACTATGCGCCAAGGTCTTGGCTGTGATTTGAAGGCCATGCAGTTCGACGTGTCTGACCTCAATTCCGCTCTCGTGAGCAACTTCTGGCACGCATTGAAGTTGTCAGATCCCGACGTTTTCTTCTTGCCGCAAGATGTTCGAAGAAGCTCCTCATCTGGCGATCTGGGGCCAACAAGGCTTCCACTCCACGTTCAAGTGTTTCTCGCGGCCGCAGCTAAGAATCCGCGAGATTACTCTGCCTTCGCTGAGCAGTTGGCAAAGAAGGTGCGGGTCGCTGTCGAACATGGCTCAATTGCGAGCCTGGATCGTCCATGGAAGCACTGTTGCATCGATTCATGTGGATTTCATCTCTCGCTATGCTGAGGCGATCAACCAAATCTTGGAGTTTGAAGCTCCGACGCACTTGGGGCCTGATTCGGCCCAAATCGCTTCTTGGGTAAACTCCATCCGTCACTTCGCGTCAACCGCTGACCGCACTGACATCGCGGACTTTGACATCAGTTGGTCTTCCCATGCTGGGTATCCCTGCGCGAAAGGTGTGACGAAAGCTGTTGGCGCTCGGCAACAGGCGGATTTACTCACTGGATTGCTCAATGGCGATTCTGTGGCTAGGAAGATCGCTTGCGTCATGCTGATTTTCCGCAGGAGCAAGATGCAAGCCCTTCAAACTGAGAACCGCAAGATTGTTCAGTCGGAGTATGAACAAGTCGAGATTTCAAATGTCAAGCCCTTCTCTTGCCGAGTCGGCACCTACGGTGGCTTGGCGGTTCACCTGTGCAATAGGGTCATTCAGCTTTCGATCCACGCTTGCCAGCGCCCCCGCGCCCCCGCGCCCCGGCGCCCCTCCCCCGTGCCGCCAAAATCCACCCAGGGCCCTTACGGGCAGCCAGGGCCCTTGAACCCCAAAATTCATGCTAGTATGGGTGTGCTGGGCTATGCTGGCCAGTTTCCCGCGGAAGATCCACCATTCTCTCATTTGCCTAGTAATCCATTGATATTAAGGGAACCCAGTCTTGCCCCTAAAAATGACGCCTCATACGGGGATCTCATTTTTCCGTAGGGGCCCGAAATGGTGGATATCACAAAACGGTGGGATTCATGTCCACCAGCCACTTTTGGATCAGTGGTTCCCTATTTCACATCATGGCATGTTTTTGGTTTTGGCCATACCTCAACGCTTGAACTTGCATAAAACCTGGTTACTTCAAGGACTATTTCGGGTGTGCCGTAGACGGACCTTTTGGTCTCCCTTTAAAACCCTCCTGAAAGGTGTATGTGTGTGTGTGTTTGTTTTCTCGAGGGGTATAACTTCAATGGACATCAAACCGACCTCCGCCATCTTTCGGGCTATTTGACACCAGCAAATCTCATTCTGAGGTCATCAATTTTGACATGTTTGTAAAGTGAAAGTCAGCTCTAGGTTCCCCTCAATTGGTGGTTTGGGGATTTGAACCGGCTCTTGTTGAGGGTAACTGGGATGCTCGGAAGCTACCCCCGGAACATGTCCGCGCGCCAAGAACTCACTCCCCCAGTTCCGTTTCGGACTTTAGTCACCTTTTAGAGTTTGGACCATTTTAGTTGCATAGAACAAGCCGGGTTACGTTTGTTGGCTGCCATCTTGATCGGAAGTGAGACTGGGAAGCTCATCCTTTGAGAAACTCTGGAATCTATCAGGGGTAGGGGTGGGAAGTTGAGAGCCCCAGTCCTTCATGTTCCCTAAAATTATTTAAGCATTCCCCCCCCCCCCCTTGCTTGGAAGCACTCCACAAAGAACCGCCTCTGGCGTCGAAACGGCTTCCTTTCGGCGCCTCCGCGGGCTGGGCTGGGGCAAAATATGGTTGAAGCACCACCTTTACCCGGGAAGAATCATCACAACCAGTGGTTTAAGCATGTTTAAACCAATGAGAACCAGTGGTTTAAACGAGATGAAGAATCAATGGATGGCCCCACCCTGGTCCTCGGACCCAGAAAAGTTGCGGCTCGAGGTTCAACGAGCTCCTGGACCGAAAGCGCCCGGCCGCCTTCGCGGCGCTGAGCCGGGTCTTCGTACAGACCAGCTACGAGGCGCCGCGTCGCTCGCTCGCGCGCGCCGCGTCACTCGCTGGAACGAGGGAGCGCCGCAAAGGCCCAGGGCGGGCTCAAAAGTGGGTGGCGCGCTTCTCTTCTTTTGCAGGGGTGTCCGCTTTTTTTTTTTTTAAGGGGGGGTGTTAAAGGGACACCAGGAAGAAAGCCACATTTTGTTTTCGTGATGTTTTTTTGTTTTGTTTTTTTGGGGGGGGAGGGTCCCCGCAAAAAAAGACACCCACATCGCTCTTTGGCATTTCCGTTTTGACCACTTGAGGTGCCTTGGCGCCTTTTTTTAACTTCCAGGTCCTTTTTTCACTTATGTGGATTTGAGTCGACCTCTGCAGTTACCAGGTTTTGATGATCACTCACTCACCAAGCGAATCAACGGCCCCAAAAGGTGATCACCTTTTCTTCTTGGGTCCTTTGGGCACCATGTTAACATTAGAGGCGAACCAGATGGGGTCGACCATTTTAGGGGGTGTGGCTCCTTTTTTTGGGAGGATTTTGAAGGACACCCAAAGGGACACCGCCCATTGTGACATGTCGCCTGCCTTGGGACAGTCGGTCCCTTCACGAAAGGCTAATGCCGGCCTTGGCTTCATCAACCTGGAGCATTTCGGGGGGAAAGTCTCCCAAACGTGATCCGGATTCCTTGTAACATGGGACACTCCCCCTTTTTCTGTTCCATAGGTTTTCTTCCGAAGTTAACATTACACCTTGCGCACATGCCATGCCCCAAACATGGATTTCGGCTTTCCTTTGGGCGTGGCAAGTCATTTGGGCCGCGTTTTTGTTCACCTTTGCCAGCTGACTTGGATCCCGAACGCTCGTAAAGTTCTTGGATTTATCCTTAAAGTAACCCGTGTCCGGCCATCTGTTGGTCGGTCCGTCATGGTCCGTCCGTCGGTCTGTTGGTTTGTCGGTGTGTTTGTCCGTGTGTGCGTGCATGCGTGCGTGTGTGCGTGCGTACGTGGGAGACGACACGGCGGTATAACCATGATATACAAAACTATGGTTGTTGGTGTATGCAGTTTTCCACCCAACAAAAACAACAGTTGTTCTTGGCGTATGCCGAGTTTTTCAAGTGTGCCTTTGCTTTAAGTCCTTGTTCTTGCTATTTGTTGGTACGTGTATTTGTTTTGTTTGGTTCTGTTCATTCAGGGCTGTCTTTGTTTTGGCTTCCCGCAAAGGAATGCTCCTCACAGATACCTGAAGCATGAAAGTTTTGCCCAAAGAACTGAGCCAAACTCAGCTGACTATCTCACACAGGTTTCGGGTCAAGTTCCAGGTCCTTGGGCAAGCAAGTTAGGGATCGCCCATTCGGGTTTGTGTAACAGTAGGGGACCCCCCTTCATAGAATGGTGGTTTCCCTTTTCAACCACTCAAACCGGGTTCCCCCCCCCTTCATAAAAGCATGCGCCTTTCAAAACGCGCGCAAAAAAAAGCATTCCGAACATCCGCGCGCGCCATTTTGACCCCATCTGAAACCCCGCCCTCACCCCCTGCACCCCACTCACCACCCACCCCACCCCACCCCATCCCACCCCATCCCACCCCATCCCACCCCATCCCACCCCATCCCACCCCATCCCACCCCATCCCACCCCATCCCACCCCATCCCACCCCATCCCACCCCATCCCACCCCATCCCACCCCACACCACCCATCCCACACCACCCATCCCACACCACCCATTGAGAGGTAGGGGCCCCCCTCGTCCGCCAGGAGCGCTTGAAGCTGCTGAGGTTCTCCAAGGACCTGTGCGAAACCCAGCGAACCGCTGGGTCCAAACCACCCAACAGGAGGGATGGCGAGAAATTTCAGGGGAGATCCAGAAAAAGCCGTGAGAGGCATCGTGCAAAGCCTCTTTATACACATCCTGCCTTTACCTTGCATAATTTAACAGAAAAAAAACATGTAGAAATACACTACATAAGTTCACATACACACATGTGCTACAGATATACATGCCCATGTTTACTTGAGATTTTCTTTTACCCTCCCTTCCACGAACAGCAGGCACCTATGGGAGGGCTGGGACTCCCGGTGGTTTTGGCAACGTGGGGAGTGAGGGTCACTGAGACTCGTGTAAATGATGATTTGCTTTTGGGCCGCCCGCGTGCCGCGGGTTCGGTCTTTCTCTCACTTTCGCCAGCCCGGTAAGGCTCTGAAAGGGTCGCCCTGCGAGCCGATAAGGCGCCATCGGCGAGGGTGAGGGATGGACAAGGAACTCCCCGAGCTTCTCTGAAGGAGCGCCAAGATCCGATCAGATCCGAAGATTTTTTTTCGCCTTCCCCCCGGAAAAAAAAAGCACCCAAACGAAGAAGGAAGCCGCAGGCATCACAGGCACAAGGCTGCCCAAACCCTTTTCTCCCCCTTGTTCCCCTCTCCCCCGCCCCCAACAAAAAAAAAGAAAAGAAAAGAACAACGCCCCCCCCCCAAAAAAAAATAAAATAAAATAAAAATATATATATAATAGTAATAAAAATAAAAATCAAAAACCAAAAAACACCCAGCCCCAGACCCAGACTTTGGTGGATCGAAAGCTCCGTCCTCCGTCCGAAGCTCCGAAACCGTCTGAGGTTCGCTTTGACCGAAGGCCCGGAGGCGGAAAAGGCCTCGATGCAGTTCATGTCCCAGGCGCGGGCTTTCAGTGACGCTCCTCCGAGCTTTGATTTCCTTTTGTGTTCTGCGGTTCGCACCGCGGCGGTGGTGCTTTGCTTTTCTCTTTGGAGGTGGTTCATATTGGTTTCGTTGAATGGGCCAGTCTTCCACCCCCAGCCGCGTAGTGGTCCCGTGCAGCTGGTTTTGTTCCATGGCAGTTTGGGGAACCGGTGTTTTTTTTTTTTTTCCCCCGAGCCCCGGCTCGGGGCTTAGCCCCAGCCCGGTTGGTTGGTTGGTTGGTCAGCTGGGCGGCCGCATCCCCAGCATCGCCAGCATCACCGGCCTCGCTCGGTGCCTATTGGCTTTGATTTGTTAGCAGTTCAGAGTTGCTCTGAGGTCTTATTAAATGAGGGCGGGTCTTGGGTTTGTTTGGGGCTCATTTGGGCTTTGAAATCCGCTAATATCCAGGATGCTGCTGGCAGGGTTCAAGGTTGACTTTGCGTCGGTTTGGGCTGGCTTGGAGCTGATTTGCGCGAGGTGTGTCCCGGTTTCTGCACTAGCCTTTGCGATGCTTCAGGGCGTGGCTGCGCAAGTTTTGGGCTGGTTCCCATCCAACCTCTTCAGAGCCACATGGGGGCGGCGAGCCGGGGCTAGTAAAAAGCCGGGGTATGTAAAAAAAACCCTCAACCGCAGTTTGGGCATGGCACTAGCATACCATTCCCCAAACGTAGCATTTGTGCGAGGGTACCTGGAAGATCAACTTCCTCGAAGAAGGGCACCCTGTCGGGTGACATGTTCGCGGGAGGGAGAGCATGTTTTTTGCAGGGGGGGATGAGCAAGCACAAGAAGGCTTCATTTCGAATCGCTCGATGTTGACGTCGGTGCTAGTTTGGTGCCAATCAATGCGATGCTGCGCCGGAAACGTGAGAGTTTTCCGTTCGTGCCCAAAACACCCTTGGGGTCAAAGCAGTTTGGAGGGTTGGGGGATGACCTTGAGGAGAACCACGAAGGCAATATTTTCCGAAGCGCGTGCCAAAAGGGGACACACCCATTCGGTTTCACGCATGATGGTAGCATTCAACCGTTGGTTGTCCCTTGGTTTGAAACTACACCTTGGCAAAATTGGAGTTTGTTTCCTTGATGGGTGTGTCTTTTTTTGGTGGTACCCCCAAAATGGTTGTGTCCTGTTGGTTTCCAGGTAAAATTCCACAAAAACGGGGTACCCTGCCGAAAAGGGCACCCAGCTTCGCATGGGACCATTTCCAGAAAGCGGTGGCTAATCTAATCTAATCTAATCCAAGTTATCTAATCTATCTATCTTGCTTTCTTCCTTTATTTTGTCCTTTCTTTCTTTCTTTCTTTCTTTCTTTCTTTCTTTCTTTCTTTCTTTCTTCAATCTTTCTTTCTTTCTTTCTTTCTTTCTTTCTTTCAATCTTTCTTTCTTTCTTTCTTTCTTATCTTATCTTATCTTATCTTATCTCCTCTCATCTTATCTCCTCTCATCTTATCTTATCTTAATCTAATCTATAATCTAATCTAATCTAATCTATTCTAATCTAGTCTAATCTAATCTACCACCTTCTATACATGAATTTGCAGTATGTGCACCTTAGACTTAGACCTGTTATTTCTACGTTTGAATGTTGACATATTGCTTTACCCGGTGGTTTCCTACGCAGGCATGTGCAGACGAGCTGGAGCTGCTGTCGGCGCAGGCGGGGTTGGAGGAGAAGGCGCCGGGCCGGGCGTCGGAGCCGAGTTCTTGGCCGCATCGGGAAAGCTTTAGCCGAGCCTGGACACCGGTGTGTTGTTTTCTTTTTTTGAGGGTAGTTGTTTTTTTTGTTGAGGATATGGTGTGTTTCTTTTTGGGTCGTTCTAAAGGAAACCACAAAAGAAGAACGTTGTTTTTTGGGGGTCCCTCGAAAAAGCCCACCCTTTTGCAACTGTTTCGGGGAAACACTTTGAAAGGCAGTGAAAACTCAGAGGTTGAGGTTAAAGGCAAGCTGAAAGGAACAGACCATGTGTTTTGGTTTGGCACATGCTGTTTAAGCTTGCCATTTCGATGTTCCTGATTCGGCTGGACTGGTTTGCCACCACCCTGTATCTTAGTTTGCCATTTCGACACTCCTATTCACTTTCGGGGGGGACCCTAGGACGAGAATTGGTTTGAAACGCGCTAAGCTGGCATTTTTGGTGCCAATTTTGGTCCGCCCGCTCTCAAGTTGGTGTTTGAATAGTTACCTTTTCTGGTGGGTTGCCTGAGATGGCATTAGGCACCTGAAGCCACCCTCCCCTTTGCCCAAGACCCTACGATCTTAGCCAAGCCTTATTTGGAGGAAATCAGGTGGCGTTGGATCCGGCCTTGGATTCTATGCTGATGCCAAGGACCAAAGGCATGTTTTTCATTGGCTTCAGCGCCCACAGCTCATACGGTTTTCTTTTGATGATGCTGGGGATGCTGGGGATGCTAGTGATGCTGTTTGTTTCCAACCGGCTTGGTCAGACGCGTTCCATTGCTTTGGGATTCCAATTCCCGAATCCCCAAGCTCAAATCCCGCATCTCAAATTTGGAATCCCCACATCCAGAATGGCACATATTTAAATCCCGCATCCCAAATCCCCCAATTGGAATTGGGATTCGTGAATCCCGCTTTGGGATTCGCCCCCCAAGCGGAGCCACCCCTAGCTTGCAGACGGTTAGCTTGGGGTTGCCTCCATCCGACTTTTCTCCCCAGCCGGACTTGTTTCAACAACTACCCATCGTCCAGTTCCTTTACCAGATCCCCCAGTAGCGCCCTTTTACCCTCTTTTGGAAAAAAGTCCCTTACTAAAACTGCAGAAAAACAAGTGGGTACATTTAATCTAACCTCTCAAATCTGGAGGGACCCAGTTTACGCCGAACAAAACGGGCCGGATCGGATCTGGGTCTCTGGGTCGCAGGCCAGCGCGAAGAACTGGGGCCGCGGCCGGGAGGTGAGGTTTCTGGGCCTGCCGCTGGTGACGAGCCTCCTCAAGCTCATCGAGCTAGAGGAGGTGAAGGCGAGCCGATTCTTGATCGGCGGTTCGGTTTTTTGGGGCATGGCAGCGGCTGGGTCTCCCAGCTTGGTGCCTCCTTTTTTGGGTTGGGAGGCTTCGGGGCCCTACAAAAATAGACTAGAGGGAAAAAAAACCAAGTTGGTACCCTCAATTCGAACCTCTGAAATCTGGAGGACCTAGGCTAGCTGGCTGGAAGTTGGAGCCTTCCGGCGCTGGGGCCTCTGGTTAAAGGGGGAGCGGGATCAGGAGCATGAGTTTGGTGAGGACATGGTAGACGTTGGCGAGGACGTGATTTTAGGGTTTGCGGTTTGCCCTGAAAAGAATGTTGCGACAACACGGTGCTGCAGTTTGCCCGTGGAAGAGCGCAGGTGATAGTACTTGCTCAGGACACCCCTCTCCCCCCCCTCCTCGCCCGGAAAAAACAAACAAGTAAAACGGGGCTTCACATTTGGGCAAGAGGGATGTTGGCGGGCGGTCCCATTTCGGACAAGGAAAAGTGGGGGGCCTTGGCCTGGTTTGGACATGCTGGCGTTTTGAATATGCATTGTTCTTTTTCTGCTTCCTGCCGCTTGTCTTTTGGTATTGGGTGTGTTTTCTTCAGGGTGGGAGCAAGGGGAAGAGAGGCGTCAAGCGTCGCCTCTTCGCCTTTACCTCCGATTCCTGATTGCTCATTGCAATCGATCCTCCTGCCCCAAATTCCTCGCGTGCGCGGCGCATTTCCTCCAGAGGGTGAGCGGGTTCACTCCTTTGTTTTCCTACCCCGCCCCTCACCCACCCCAAACAGAACCCCAACACATCACCCAGTCCATCCCAGGCAAACCCTTGAAGTAGGTGACCCTTCGCCATTGTCCTTTTGGTGTGTGGCAAGCCCTTGCTTACCTACAAAGCCAGGTTAATGGATCCACCGGGTCGGGTCACGGGGGGGCCATCGTAGCTTGGGACGGAGATGGCGTCCCTGCCTGGCCACAATTACCCCATCAGGAGGCCGACGAGCTGCGCGCGAAGATGCGGATGGTGGACAAGCGGCGCCTTTAGGGATTACGGATTAGGAGTGGCTAAAACTCCATTTGGAACAGCCCAGTCAGTTGTGTTTTTCCTTGGGGTGGGGGTGGTGTTTTGTGTTTTATAGGTCCTTTGCGGCCTTTTTTCGAGGATGTCTCTGTTCACCAGGCGCAACCCAAGTCGGTCCATGAGTCCATTGTGTTCATTTCAGGTACTGGCGCATCAAGATCCGGGGCCTGGCGAGTTGCGGGAACTTCGACGAGCTGAGCCTCGGTCGGTGCTGTGAGTGATGCCAGGTTTTTGAGTAGTGTCCCCTGCTACAGAAAAAAGGGTACCTTATTCTAACCTCTCTACTGGAGGGCCTAGGAAAGGAGCTGCACAGCCGGTTTTCAAGGGCTACAAAGCGTATCTGCTTTGGATCCTCTCTCCCTCGCTCTCTCTCTCTCTCTCTCTCTCTCTCTCTCTCTCTCTCTTTTTTTCTCTCCCTCACATGTAAATTTATGCACATGAATAGCTGGATTCAGCTGGAACATTCGGGCGATGGGGTCTCCGCATTTCAAGAAGGCAAATCCATTGACCCACTTCCGTGTCTCTTCCTTCTCCCGTGCCAAGTGTTCTCAGCCCAGTTGAGTTGCGTGTTGGAAGCGGCGACTTGGGTCAAATCCCCGACTTGGTGATTTTCGGGGTAAGGGCCTGGCATTTGATTCCAAAGCACATGGTTTGTCAAATGGCCCCGCCGTCCCGTGGCGTTTTGTTGAATGAATTTGTTGGATGCCCACACGCTAAGAGTTTTCTCACTTGCCCAAAGCAGATCGAGATCTGACCTTTGGGTTTCTTGTGCCGACAGATTCAGGTATCATTTCCGGGTTGCCCCTTTGGGGCAACTGATCAGGTCGCTTTTTCGACCCGGCCACTCGCGCCTTTTCGGGCTCACTCGTTTTGTGGCCCTGCATTTTCGCAGTCCGAGGCTGAGGGAATCCTCGGCTTGCTGTGTTGGACATGTCCACTTCTCCCACAGTTGCTAGTGGGAGGGAGGGTATCACTTTTTGCAGTTGGATCTGTCTGGAAGCCAGGAACCAATTTCTTGCCAGTTCTTAATAGATGGCCTTCGGGAATCCACTTTTGGAGGTTTCCGAAATCGGAGGTTTCCTTTGTTCATTTGTAGGTGGTTTCCATTGAAACGATCGCTTGAGGTTCCAAAAAGGGAAATTGCAGAAATGCTGTTTGGGTGGGGGCCCAAAAACGCTGGTTTCAATTTTCCTATTACATTCCCTTCTGGAAAAGGAGGAGGAGGAGGAGGAGGGGGAGGGGGAGGAGGAGGAAGGAAGAGGAGGAGGAGGTGGGGAAGGGAAAGCATTATCAATTTGAGAGCCCAAAATCGGGCGCCTTACGGTGCCCAGTGCCAAGGGCTTATCCTCTAAAAAGGCGACAGCCTTGGGGTAAGCCATGGATATATGAATAGACGAAATAAATAAGCAAATAAATGCATAACACCACACAAACAACCAACTAATATGTGTATACATATATATTTGTACATGCACATTATCAAAAAGTATATCTTTGGTTATTTTGATATGTATATATATATATATATAAAACACAACAAAAACACATATTGGGTTGTTTCGCTCTCTAGGAACGCCTTCGCCATCTTGGCCTCGCCCATTGGTTACGAGCCCTTCGTCGAGGCCTTCCTGCGCCTGGGCCGCAGCTGTTGGTCCTGCGCCAGAAGTCTCCACGTTTCACCCAGGGACATCCCCCTACTGCGGATGGGCGAAATCCATTTTGGCTGTGAGTCAAAACCAATGTTACCATTTTGGGGTAGGCACCACACATTTTAGTCTATTTTAGTTAGGTAGTTGGGAAACCTTTGCATTTTTGCTTATTGTGGTTTAGGTGGTTGAAATCCAACCACTTAACTGCTAAAAATTAGATGTTTGCTCCCTCAACGTCAACCAAGCTATTTGGATGGGCATTGCACATTTCGCAGCACCGTTCAGAATTTCTGGTTTCTGATGATCCCCCTCTAGATGGCAACAAGCAATGGTTTCAGCCATGGCCTCCGAGTGGTGCGATTCAAAAATATTCCATGGAAAGCTTCGCTATTAATAAATAGGGGTAGAGGTAGATGCATCCGGGGTTCTCGCCAAACGTAGGGACACTTCCAAACCCATGGACGCTTCCCTATTCATAAACAGGGGTAGATGAATGTGGGGTCACTAAACCCAGGACACTCCCCCCATTGGTAAAAAGGGGTAGATCAATCCAGGGTTCGTGAGGTGTAAAGGGAAACCTCGTTGGCGTTTGGTTGAGAATCTCCTGATAAATCATGTCGCAAGCCATTGAATCCACCGGATCTCCGTTTTCGCACGTGGGCGCGTCTCTTCTTTGGAGGCTCGGTAGCCTTGTTGGGGTGGTTTTAAAGGGAATCAAGGGCAAACCGAAATCCATTCTTGTGGGCATGTTAGTATATTTTTAGTCGTGCCCAAAGGTAAACCTGGGCAGTTCGACCCTCGGTTTGGGGGAGTCAGGGGTCCCTGAAGGAGGATTTCTACACTTCCAGTAGGGGCCCTCCATTTTCCAAAACCAGGCCGAAAGCTAACCCCCAAATGGTTGCCTCTTTTACAGCTTCATATCATTTAAACGTCTTGGGACAGTCACACCGAAAACCCGCGTTTCCACCGCGTTCTTTGGGACCCAACGGCGAGCCCGAGTGAACCTCCGGCGGGGGGGGGAGGGGAGGGGAGGTTCCACGTTTTGAGAACCCACAAGGGGGCTAGTGCCATTACCGTTCCCCTGGCTATCGGATTGCAGTCACCTTTTGATACGCCAGGTGGGCTGAAGCTCAAACGGTTTTCCTCCTTTCTCGGAGCAGCCAGGGCTTCAAACGGAACCCTTGGCAGGACATCCACCCGTGGTTTTCTCTCTTTCTCGGAAAAGCCATAGGTTTGACACCGGCAATCGTGGTGTGGGGAAGGTCCAGGTGGGGATGTGGCGCATTTCTACATGTTCCACTTGCAGTTGGCTAAATTGTCAAGTTAACGTGGTGGATCCTTTCCATCGAAGACACTCAGGTAACCCTAAGTTGGTGGTTTGGATTGGTGGTTTGGGGGTTCGAACCCCTGGCTTTTGTGGAGAGTAAATGGGAAACCCACACCAATCCAAAGCGGCAATTAGACGGAAGCTGAGACACTTGGTCCCCCAGTGCCCTTTTACCATTTTTAGTAGGGGCGGGTTCCCCTACTATTATGGACTACAGAAAAAGGGGTACCCTTGTTCCAACCTCTCTACTGGAGGACCTGGGACCCGTCTTGGTTGTTTTATATAGTGGGGGGGGGGGCTAAAGGAATTTCTTCCTTCGGTTCCCCGTTCTCAGGCTAAGGGGGGCCGACCGGATTTGCTCTGAGGAAGGCCGGGCGAAACGACTTCGCGCTGGCCTTGGTGCCTAAGGCGAGGTTGGCGGGGTGTTGCTTTGGAGTTACCTTTTTGCCCAGGAACCACTGGAAGGGAAGTCAGGAAGGCAATCAAAGCACGCAAGTGTTTTTTTCCCCTTTCTTCTTCTTCTTCTTTTTTTTGAGGGGGGGGTTGTGAGCTAAACAAGTTGACGGGGGAGAGACGGGGGTAGATGACGTGGGAACATAGCTGCTTGCCGCTGGGACATGTTTGAGCCAGAGTTGTTGGGAGATCCTCATTGAAGGGGAGCGGGGAGGGGCGTTCGATGTCCAGTAAAGGGTCTCTTTCCACTTCAAAACGCCGGACAATAAACTATTCATCTCAGTGAGTCTTCGATGTGGGATGACTGTTCGGGAAGTCTTCACATGCGCTGGTTAATATGTGCACTTCCGTGGGTCATGTTATTTAGTAAGCCCCAGGTTGTTTTGATTTTGTGTCCGGGTGACTTGCATCCTACGAGACCAAAGTTTTCTACTTCAATCCGGGGGTTGACTGACATCCACTGCCCATTTCCTACGAATCCACCCAGTTCTATTGAATAATTGGATTAGTTCCCCAGCGACCTGGATCGACGCTCCGCCGGAAGTGGGGTCCACTTCTGATCCGATCCCTCTGCTGGACTCTGCGGACATCTTAGTGGGAAGTCTTCACATGTTATTTAGCAAGCCCCAGGCTGTTTTGATCTTGGGTCCAGTTTAAGAAGGGATCCAGATCAGTCTTGGGTGACATCCGCATCCAAGGCCGGGGTGTTCGACTTCAATCCGGGGGGTTGACATCCACTGCCCATTTCCTACTGTGGATGGACGAAATCCTCTTAGGCACCACACAAGAAACCCTAGAAGGATGATTCCCCTGTGAATACCAACAAAAATGGTTTCAACCATGGTTTCCAAGTGGTGCGAAATGGATTTTGTCCATCCACAGTACGAATCCACCCAGTTCTATTGGGATTAGTTCCCCAGCGACCTGGATCGACGCTCCGCCGGAAGTGGGGTTCCACTTCCGATCCGAATCCCTCTGCTGGACTCTCCGGATCTCGAGGTGAAGAGCGGGGAGCAGCAGGCGCTCTACTACCAGCAGATGAACCTCCACGAGGAACTCCGGGGGTGGGGGGCGATGGTTTTTTGCCCCCTGTGCATGCCTCTGGTTTCTCTAAGGGGGCTTTTGGGCCCTTCGACCAATAGGAAAACCCACTATTTGCAGGGTCCTCCCAAAAAAGACAAGCCACCCAGACCCATGTTCTGAAACACCCGAGCCTACCCAAGCTCTTGAAGGGTCGAGTCTGAAGGAAGGCTTTCCGGGCGTATGGGGCCCACTGGCCTTTTGGCCTCGGCCAAGAAGAGTCCCAAGCTTCGCCGTTGGCGCTCCGAGCCCCCCATCTGAACCACCCTCCCTGTTGTGTTTTTTGCTCTAAACGGGGAGCCTGGTCGCTCGGAGGGGGGGGGCGGGGTTGACGCCGGAGCGATCCGATGCGACCTGACGACGGCGCCAGGAGGCCCAGCGGGCGCGCCAGGGCCAGGACAGGGGCGCGGGGCGGCTGCTGAACTTCTTCGCCGGGCGCTGAGCGAGCGCCAGCGACGCGAGCGCCTGGTGGGGTGGGGAAAGCAGTGCCCTTCTCTAGGGTGACACGCGCACGTACATATATATATATATATTTATGTATATATATATATATTTATATTTTGCATAATGTGTTTGTTTTGTTTGTTTGTTTGTTTGTTTGTTTGCTTGCTTGCTTGCTTGTTTTGTTTGGGGATGGGCGGTCTTAGTCTTGGCCAGCGGCCTGCTCTGCTTTGGCACCGCCTCTCGCGGCGGGTGTGCCAAAGCGGGGGCCGCCAAAGGAGCCACGCGAAGGAAGCCGTGCGTTGCGAAGAAAAGTTGCGTTCTTGCGCTAGGGGCCGAGTCGCATAGGTGTCCTTTTTGGTTGGTTTGCTTAAACTTGCCTCTTAGCAACACAACTTTTCAACTTTTTGGGTAACATGGGCTATATGTCTGTAAAAGATTAACTTCGCCAGGGCTTGGAGTTTTAAGGGGTAAGTAAAACATAGAGGGCGATTCCTGGTTTAGATGGGGTTTGTTCCATTTACCAGGGCCGTCTATTTTCCAAAAGGCCACCTATGGGCCCAAGTTGCTTGCCAGAGCAAGTTCAGGCAATCAAGCAGCCTGGACTTCCGGCGACGTGTCAAAGGTTCGGGGTGCGACCAAAAGGGCGGCCAAAAGGCAATCGCACTGTTGGGGTTGCCGTGTACCTCCGGCACCAAATTAAAACGGGGAAGAACATGTGCAATTATTTAGCTCCTAGGCAGGTTAGACCCTCCAGGCTAGCATGACACCTATGAGATGGTTGTTGTTGGGAAACATTTTACGTTTTTGCTGGTTGTGGTTTAGTGGCAACTCCCCACTTAACTGCTAAATATGTATATATTTTTGCTCCCCTTCCAACGTCCAGCAAGATGACAGGGTTTTTATTGAAGGAACATGGTCTAAACCAGGACCTGACGAAGCAGCCGTTTCAGCCACGACCAGCGCCATGGCGCCCCGTTCCCCTGGCGGCCGAGCGGCGGGTGTGTTTGTTTGAGGAAAGCCATGGGCAAGATGAAGCCGTTGGCTGCTGTTGTCCTTTTGTTTTCTTGGCATCTCCAAAAGGGAAACCGAAAAATGTCCGACTCCTAAGATGAGATGAGCCCATTTTCCGGGGGGCCCAACTTTTTCAGACACATCCGCCGGCCAAAGAGACGGAAGCCATGGGCTGCTTCCGCAGCCTCTCGCTCTACGTGGCCTGCTGCCGCGACCAAGCCCCTCCCTCCTGGGCGGCGTGCGATCCGGCGGAAGCAGACGCCTGCTGCGGCGCTGCGGGCCAAAAGGTGCGGCCAAAAAGCAACCCGCAAGAAGAGAGCGAGCCCCTGCTGCCATGTGCTTATTTTTTTTTATTCTCCATTGTTGGTTTTTTTAGGGAATCGATTGCCCGTTCGCTTGATATATGTTTATTTTATCTTGTCGGTGTTAAGAGGGAATCTATCACTGGACTGCTTCCATTTGCTTAGTATTGGTTTCATTTTTTCTCTTGTTGGTTTTGAGGGAATCTATCCCCGGACATATTTTTGTAAGCTTTTCCCCTGTTATGTTCGTTAGGGAAACGATTTCAGTTACTGGACCATGCTTTGTTCTTTCCGGGGGAGTTAAGCAAATGGAGGCCTGTTTATTTGAAGGTGTGCGTGTTTGTGGGGAATACCCGCCTTTCTCCTTAGTTCCTAAAGGAAACCCAGAGGAAAGCCACCTTTTTGCAGGTCCCTATCTTGCGAAGCGCGCAAACATTTTGGTTGGCAGCCCTCAGTTTTTGTGGGGGATCAAGCACTCGTTTTCAGAGCGGACCCCCCCCCCCATTCATCAACTGGGGCTGATTCATCCGGAGTTTCGATTCGGGCATTTCCTCTCGGTTTGCTTTTTGACAGACGGGAGAACCGATTTTCAAAAATTAGCTGCCAGAAAAGAGATGCTCCCTTTTGCCTGGCTGTGGACAGCTTCTTGCACCACGTCCCATCCTTTGGTTTTACGGCGTCCACATCCATGGGGGCAGGGTCCCAGACACCCAGAAGTAGAAATTACACCAACCCCCAGATGAATCAACCTGGCAGATGAACCCCCTCCAGGTGTTCCCTGTAATATCAGTCACGCTTTCAACATCAACAATGCGATTGTATGCCGGGGTGGTTCCCCCCCCCCCCCCCCAAATTCCTCGGGCAGACTAGATGGATCGCCAACTGCCAGCTCAACAAGATTTAAACCACAAAATGGTAGAAGCGTCTAACATTTCTCTGGCCGGATTTTGCGGGGTGAGCCATTGAGTAACCGACGGCTTTTTCCCCGCCCGCCGCGGAGCAGTGAGCAAATGGTTGAGCCCAAATGTCCTTCTTTTAGGCTACCCTTAGTCGGCAATTTGGTGGTTTGAGGGTTTGAACCCCTGGTTCTTACAGAGGGTAAATGGGAAACCATCCCCAGCCTCCCAACCATCAATCCGAGCCACGGTTCCATTTGGAGGGGTCTGCTTTTCTTTTTGCGTTTGAGGCAAGTCCCCCCCCACGCACTCGTGCGAAGGCAACAGGACTACTGGCTTCCGATTTGGAGATCCTCCAAAGTGTCCAAGCGCTTTTTGTGTTGTAGTCTTAGCTTCTCAAAAAAACAAACAAACACACACTCCAAAGTGTCCAACCGTTTTAAGGTTTTAGAGACCTACTGTGGATGGACGAAATCCATTTCGCACCACCTACAGAAACCCTGGAAAGGTGACTTCTCTGCAAATACCAACCAACCACGGTTTCCCATAGTTTCCGAGTGGTGCAGGAATGAGTCCACCCACAGCACGTATTCTTTACATGCCTGAAAGGAATTTCCCGTGAATGTTCTCCGCGAAAGCTGCCTCTCCATAGGTCCGACCGACCTGGGTACGGATGCTGATTCCTATTAATTGGATGTCGCGAGGGACAAGGGACCCCCACGAAATTTACCCCGCTGTGCTGTAAGGTGTTGTGGTTTGCGTGGGTTTGTGCTTGTGTCTGTGTCTGTGTGGTTTTGTTTTTTGGGTGTTTTCTGCTCTTTTATGTTTTTTTTGGTGTGTGTGTGGTTTACTTGCAAAATGGTAGGAATCGGTATCCACCTCTTTTCACGTCGCTTCGACATCTCAAAGTTATAACACGTGAGGGTTTTTGCCCAGGTGGTCTCTGGAGTGGTTCGGAGCGGCTGGGCGTTTTTTCGGGTTCGAAAGGGTTTCGGGGCTTGCTGCTAAGGATGCCACCCGAGCTCTTTTCTTTCTTTTTTTTTTTTTGGGGGGGGCGGGCAGCCGAAAGGAAGAGCATTGTTCTTCAGGTATCGCTGAGTGAATGGTTTGGATTCCAAACCACAAAGATCCAACCCCAGCAACTCGACTACTGACTTATATGTTTTCAAGGTTGCCCTCCGGTCCCCCCCATGAGGGTCCCTTGCAAAGGAAGATCGTCCATGCTAGTGGTCGGGAGGGTACGCATATCAATGCAAGATATGGATGTATCAATTGTTTTAGGTGAACCCCCCCGCGCAACATCAAAAGCAACAAACAAGCAAGCAAGCAAGCAAGCAAGCAAGCAAGCAAGCAAACAAACAAACAAACACAAACACACAAACAAACACACAAGCACACGGTGGTGTGCCTTCTGGCTTTTCCTTGAAACTACCAAGAGAAAAGCTCAGGGAAAGTCACGCGGCTTCTTTTAAAGCGCAGACGGCGGCGCCTTTCAGTAGTCGGGGGCCTTGCCCCGCAAATAAATTGCTTCATACATACCCCCCACCCTACATTTTTTTTCATCTTCCATCTTCTACCCTTATTTGTTTTCATCATTTTTCTACATTCCTTTCTGTCCATCTCATCCGTTTTTTTATCATCATTTTTCCAAAATTTTCGCCATCCTTTTCTCCTTTCTCCTTGCCTCATTCATTTCACCAACTACCCTTCAAAATGTCATTTCCTCAATCTTCTTAACTTATCGATTTCAAAAAAAGAAATTTTGCAAAATATATTGCAAACAATATTTGTCATAAAAAAAAAAAAAAACGAACTGTCTAAAAACGATTTGTCCATTTCCCGGACAAAAATAGAACAGCAACAACATCACTCCCCTCCTTCGTTTCATCAGTTTCATCATATATTTTTTTGGGGCGTGGTGTCCCTTGTAGGATTTTATCTTCAATATATAAAACGCTATACTTACATTATAATTATAACATATAAGATCATATAAGGGTATAAATGTTATACTCATAGTATGGTTATGAAATTAATAATAGCTACCAACACTTTCATTATCGCTAACTTCTTCTTCGCTTTTGTAGAAGTCTTCAGTGCCTAATATATGATAAAACCGGATATGCCATTCTGCTTCTGTTCTAAATGGCATCATTGATAAACGTGCTCTCATAGCGTCAAAATATTGACTTGTCAGTATTTTTCTACCATTAATGTTCATATCATCAATATTATTAATAAACCATAGATGCTTAAACTTATATTCAATATTAAATATGTAAGAATAATCGTAAAATGTTTTTAATTCTAAGTATATTTCATAATCATATTTTTTACCATCTAAATATTCAGTCAAAGACATTATCCAGAATGGATTTCTTTTTACCTTTTCCCAAGTTGGAAAAGGGTGTTTAATGATATCGTTATACCTGTAAGGACATATATCACAACAGTTATATGACATAATATTCAATCTAATTTCTAATGGTAAATTGTTAAGTTCCATTTCTATTATAATGTATAGTGTGTATTTCTTTAAATACTTTTTTACAAGAAATAAAATTAAATATTGAAATATAATTATAACATATAATATTTTACATGTTATTATTATATTATGATTATAATTTAAGTTCAGGATAATAATTTAATTGATATATCTTACCTCTTTCATACATCATTTTAAAAATAAGATTAATATCTCTCACTGTATTTTTAACATTAAACTGTTCACTTTCAATATGTGATTTTATGACTTTTTTTACATCAACGCCGGGTTTACTATAATAAATCAACATCCATAATATGTCATTAATCATTTCACACTTTTTCTTACTGATTTTAAGAAACAGTTTAACATAATCGTAAGGTGGTCTTTCATACACAGTTAAAAATATCAATATTTGATCTTCAACATTTCTTGCATCTATATTTTTAAACGCCAAACAATTTTCTATTATATTTTGATATCGTCTCCATCTTCTACAAGTTCTACATATATTTTCTTCGTCCAAAGAATAATCAATAATATTATTAACTATTCCATTAGGTAAATTCAATTTATATAATTCCATATTTTCCTTTTTGAAGTGGCAACAATCGTTCGTAGCATTTCTTATTGATATAATTATTGATTTCGGTTTCCATCATTTCTATTATAATATATATAGTTGTTATTTCTTTAAATACTTTTTTACAAGAAATAAAATTACATATTGAAATATAATTATAACATATAATATTTTACATGTTATTATTATATTATGATTATAATTTAAGTTCAGGAAAATAAGTTAATTGATGATTATTAAATTGTGTAAATATCTTACGTTTGTCATGTTCACGGTATTTTTCACATTAAACTTATTGCTTTCAATATATGATTTAATGTCTTCTTTTAAATCAGACCCCTCTCTTCTACGATGTAACAACATCCATAAAATGTGGTCAATCAGTTCATACCTTTTCTTACTGATTTTGAGAAATGCTCTAACATAACTATAAGGTGGTCTTCCATACACAGTTAAAAATATTATAATGTCGTCTTCAACATTTCTATTATGTCTTCTTTTCAGATTTAAATGACATCTGATTAATTCTTGATTATCTCTCCATTCCTGACAAATTTTACATTCATCTTCTTCACTCAAAGCATAATCGATAATATGATTAACTATTCCATTAGGTAAATTCAATTTATACAATTCCATGTTTTCTTTTTTTAAGTGGCAACAATCGTAGCATTTCTTATTGATATAATTATTGGTTTCGGTTTCCATCATTTCTATTATAATATATATAGTTTTTATTTCTTTAAATACTTTTTTCCAAGAAATAAATTTATACATTTAATAACTCGTGTCTCAAAAATGCCCTGTCATAATTTTCAATATAATAATATTCCTGTCCTAACTTCTTTTCAATCTTTGCTATTTTGTAGGTTTGTTTAGTCCATACACCTACTCTCTCCTTTTCGTTTGGTCTCCTTTTCCTGAATATCTTAACCTGAATATCTTAACTTCATTTCCTACATTTAAATCTGGATAAACTCTATTTCTTTTGGCTTTCATACCTAAGTTTAAACTCACT